GGGCCCACACAGGCCAGGCTTCTTGGCTGATCGGGCTGGGGAAATGGGCCAGGGCAGGGGCAGAGCGGCCTCTGGCTGGGAGGCAGGTGAGTGCTGAGACCAGAGGTCAGCTCCCTCCAGTGAGCGGGGGACTCTGGCTACTACGCAGCCCACCCCAGCTGAAGGACTGGCCTCCAGGCCAGCCTGCGTCCCCCAGTGCCAGCAGCAATCTGCCTGGCCAAGGTTCTGTGCTAGAGGTGACTATCAGTGCTTGCTGGCTGGGAAGGGAGCCATTTGCCCTCCCCCTCCAACTCGACTGTCTCAATTTTCTCTCTCCCTCCCTCTTTCCCCCCCTTCCTATTGTGTCCATCTATGCAAAAATGTGTCATGACTTTTCTGACCACCCAATATTTCTTCCGTGAGTGAGAGAGATAGAGGGACAGTACCCCCAGCAGGGTCTTGAGGAAAGGGTCCATCCTCTGCCCCAGTGGGCCCTGGGCCATGGGTGCGAGTGTGGCCGGCACGCTCAGGAGGTCCCTGGGTACCCCTCACAGAGCCCTCCAGGTGGGCAGCGTGCAGGCCCTGGGCCGTGGGTGCAAGTGTGGCCAGCACACTCAGGAGGTCCCTGGGTACCCCTCAAGGAGCCCTCCTGTGTGGCCAGCGTGCAGGCCCTGGGCCGTGGGTGCGAGCGTGGCCGGCACACTCAGGAGGTCCCTGGGTACCCCTCACAGAGCCCTCCCAGGTGGCCAACGTGGCAGAGCACTGTGTTTTGTTTTGTTTTGTTTTTAAAGAATTGTTTTATTTAACTGTATTTATTTATTTATTTTGACCAGAGAGAGAAGGCAAGTAAGAAAGCAATCTACCAGGTCTGGGACACGAACTGCAGTTGGCCATGTGGGAGTCCAGCGCCTTAACCACCATGTTACCTGTCGGCCCCACAGAGACTATGTTTTAGTAATGAGCCATTGTCCAGCCCTGTCTCCCCTAACACCTAGGTTCAGCAAGACTGATACCACGGGCTTGGCCTGGTCCCGAGGTTGACGCCCTGCCACAGCCTCCTCTGCTAGAGCCAAGGTCTGTCCCATTCTCTCTGAAGAAAGTGCCTCCAACCCAGCCTCATCGCCTCTTCTGTGCTCAAACTCCTTGCACCAGGGGTCCACTGAGGAGCATTGTGCATGCTCCCTGATACTCAGGGGTCAGCAAACATGGAGCAGATGACGATTTCTGATAACAAGAAAGAGAAAGCCAGCTTTAAGACACTGGAAATGGATTCGATTCTGAAGAGTTCTGCGGCCCATAACCTTTGACAGTTTCTAAAAGAATTGATCTCAGTTTCTTTCTGCCAGAGTCATTGGTGGGGACAGAAGGCCCGACAGGAAGGAATGTGGAGTCAGGCTGAGTATGGAGCAGAGGCAGGAGCTGAAGGGGAGCTCTGAGGCCCCAGAGGAGCTGTTTGCTCTTGTTCTCGAACAATGGAGCACACCTTTGACGTCAATGCGTGTGAAAGAACAAAAGGGCCTTTGGGTGTGTGCAGGGTGCAGCTGGGCCTGGATTTTCTTGGCATGAGCGGGGGAGGGGGGGGAGTGTCGAAGTGTCAGTGGAGACGGGAGTAGGGGCCACCTTGCCCGTGGGGTGCACGCTGCCCGCGGGCCTTTCAGGTCTTCTGTGGAAGGCTGCCCTGATGAACGGGTACAAGCCCTGCTTTGCCTCTGAGGACCTGTGGGCAGCTTCGTCAAGAAAGGAAGTGGCTCCCACACGGCTTTCCTGAATGAGGGTGAGTCGGCGGATACCAGCAGCACCTAACTGCCTCTGCCCCCTTTCCTGGTCCCCGAGAGCCCCTGGGGAAAGAAGAGTGCAGGGAGATGCTACAGGCCACAGCTCTCATACAGTGCGGCACCTGCAGCCAGCCTCCCCCATGGGCCCTGCCCTGTAGGGGGCGCAGTGGCGCGCTGTGCTACCTGGGAGCCTGCCAGCTGCTTCCTGTCGGCAGGTGTCAGGCTTCTACCCAGGCTGACTATACAGACAGGAGGCTGGGGACTTGCGCTCCCTGCTAATGCTTACTGAAAAGCCGGCAGCCTCAGGCCAGGTACTCGGGTTCCTGGGACCTCTCTCACCGTCTCTTACACCTTTGCCTTGCCCTTTCAGAGGGTCCTCTTTCCACATGCCTATCTTATTGCGCCCACGCTTCCTGCGCTGGTTCCTCTGTGGAGCCAGTGGGAATAGTTCTGGCCTGGTTAATTATAAACTACAAGCCCAATTTAGTATTTGATTAAGTTCCCTTTTTCTGAGAGACTTTCTCTCTAATGATGTGCTTGGGGGCAGGGACATTTACTTCTGTACCTCCGCATAGAAACAATGACCCTTTTTCCTGAACAACAATTGAAACACATGGTCTTGAAAATAAGAAAGGCCACTTGGAAGCTGACTGTCCTGGCCGATCTGAGACAAGTCAACCACAGGCACCTTGGTGGCCTGGGTGGGCGTGCACCCCCAGCAGCGGAGGCTGCTCTGTCTGCGCCCCGCACAGCCATTCTGGCGCCTAGCGATGAATGAATGAAAGGGTGAGTAGATGAATAACTGTGAATGAGGGAGAGAAAGAGGTCTGCGGGTCAGCGGCCCTGGCCGCTGGAAAGTGTCTCTGGCGCGTCGCTGCAGGTGGCAGCGCCCCCGGGCCTGGGCCTCTGCGCTGCCAGGTCTCCGGCCCGCGGTGCGCCGGCCTAGCCCCGCGCGCAGCTCCCCCGCTCTGCAGTGGTACGAGCCACTCCGCACTCGCCGAGCCGGCGGACGCCGCGTGCGTGTCTTGAATGGAAGGCGCCGACGCCGGAAGTGGAAGGGACCACTCGAGAGGACTGGGGGGGCCAAGAGCGCCTCGCGTCTTCATTGAGGAAATGCGGAGGTGAACATGGAGTTCCATGTGAGCCTTATGTAAAGAGAGAGACGGGCTCTGCCACCAATGGGCGCGCGGCACTCGCAGGCCCGGCCCCCCCGGTATGCAGATGAGGCAGCACCGCGGCCAATAGCGAGCGTTGGGGGCGGGCCCGGCGCGGGTGGGCACGTTTTCC